CCCTCCCTCCAGACCTCCCATACCCCCAGCTGACCCTTCCTCCAGGCCTCTCATACCTTCAGCTGATCCTCCCTCCAGGTTTGCCATACCCCCAGCTCACACTCCCTCCAGGCTTCCCATACCCGTAGCTGACCCTCCCTCCAGGCCTTCCATACCCCAAGCTCACAATCCCTTCGAGTTTCATGCACCCCCAGCTGATCCTCATCCCAGGCTTGCTCATTCCCAGCTCATCCTGCCTTCTAGACCTGAGCACTCCCAGCTCTGGGCCAATTCACCAGACTCAGGCCACTGACCACCCTGAAAACAGGCCTGCAGTTCAGGGATCTGCAGACACAGGTCAGTCTCTCCCATCCCAGTCCCTGAGACCCCGCCTAGCTGGGTTTGTTCTTGGCTACAACTGCTTGACTACAGTTCCCTCCCATGACCTTGTCTGCAGCTGGTGTCTTTCCTGATGCTAGTTTACCCCCTGGCTTTCCTCCCATAGTGTTGGCATGGTGTGCCCTGTCCTGGTCCTGACTCCCTGGTCCTCTATGACTCAGGATGCTGGCTTCTTGCCCCAGGACCCCACCCTGCCAGTGTTCTGGTCTTCCCAGCTGAGGCCCCCATGGGGGAAGAATCAGAGTATTTAACCCAGAATCCACCAGGTTTCCGCCTGCCCTGCAAAAGAACAACTTGGGGTGTCTGAGTTATCTGAAGTTGTCAACTTGATACGCTTGGGAAGAGGGAACCTCAAATGAGGAATTACCTCTATCAGCTTGGCCTGTGGCCATGTCTACAAAGCTTTTTCTTGATTGCTAATTTATGTAGAAGGGCCCATCACATTGTGAGTGGTACCATCCCTGGGCAGGTGGGCCTGGGGCTGTATAAGACAGGTAGCTGAGCAAGCCAGGGGGAGAAGGCCAGTAAGCAGCATCCTTCCATGGTCTCTGGACTCTGCTTCAGTTCCTGCCCTGATTCACCTCAATGATGGACTGTGACCTGGAAGTGTAAGATGAAATAAACATTTTCCTCCCCAAGTCAGTATTGGTCAGTGTTTTATCACAGCAACAGAAATCTAACTATGTCAGGTTCTATGAAACCAGTTATATCCCAGCTATGAGACAGGGCACTGCAGACATGTGTGACCCATGAAGCTTCCAGCAGGGAGTTGGCCTGAATAACAGCTGCAGCTCTATCCAGGAACAGACTCCAGACCACAGAACATACCCACGCAGTGTGTCACAGCCTCCAGCCCCCAGGTCAGCCTGCTCTAGCCTGCCCATTTGATTAGCAGTGTTCCGGAACCCCAGGAAGGAGCATTAGAAGTGGGCTTGCACCAGCCAGGCATGATGCAGGCCTGTCAGCTTAGCTACTTATGTGAGAGGCTAAGGTAGAAGGATCCCAAGTTCAAGGCTAGCCTAGTTAACTTAATGAGACCATCTCAAAATAAAAAAAGGGCCAGGGATGTGGCTCAATCATAGAACATTTGCCTAGAATGCCCCAGTGAGGGACTGGGGTGTAGCTCAGAGGTAGAGCCCCTGCCGAGAATCCCTCAGTGAAGGGCTGAGGTACAGATCAGAGGTAAACCTCTTACTTAGAATCCCCCAGTGAGGGACTGGGGGTGTGGCTTAGTAGTACCTGCCTAGAATCCCCCAGAGAAGGGCTGGGGTGTGGCTCAATGATAGAGAGCCCCTGCCTAGAATCCTTCAGTAGGGGCTGGAGTGTGGCTCAGGGGTAGAACATCTGCCTAGAATCCCTCAGTGAGGGGTTGGGGGCATATCTCAGTGGTAGAGCACTTTCTATCATGCATGAGGCTCTAGGTTCCATCCCCAGTTTAAAACAATTTTTTTTTCAATCCCCAGTTTTAAATAATAAAATTTGTTATTGGTGAAGTAGTGGCACTTTTATCTTGAAGGTAATCAACAGTTATCTAACTGCAACTAAGGTCCACTCAATGAGAGGGAACTAATGTGTGGTACTGTAAATATAGCCAAATACACATGTCTGGTGAGATCATAAATCTTAGAGAAAAACCTACTTTTGCCACATCCCTAGATACTTACTGCATTTTAAATATGCATCCTCATATTTACAGACAATTGTACCTCTGACCACTCATCAAAGAAGTTTCCTTTTGCCGCAAATGGAGACTAACACGGAGTTCTAAAACTGGTCAAACGCAAGGAATAATTGTGAGATGCTTAGCCCTAAATGACACATTTTCAATGCAACTGCTACACATAAGATGAACACATCTTTCAACTCTCACCAGAGAAGTTTCCTTATGCAACAGATGGTGATTAACACAGAAGCCCACAATTGAACAATGTGCAGTGAACAAGAGGCCGAAGAGTGCTTATCCCTGAATAGGACACTTATTTCAAACCCCTGTCTTCCACAGCTCAGGGATCATCGTGGAAGAGAGGGCAGAAAGATTTAAGAGCCAGAGGTGGTGGATGACCGCAAGGAAAAGTTTCCCAGACAGCTGGTCAAGTTACACATATGAACTCATGGCAATGGTGTCAGCATGCACAAGTTCCATGCAAGTTCAAACCAGACAAAATCCCAGCTTAGACATGGGGAAGTGGGTAAAAAAAAAAAATCCCAATCCAGCCTAAGGAACTTCAGGTAGGTTAACCAGGCCCCAGTGGATGGACCCACACTGAAGGACATTTGGGGACACAAATTTGGTGGAAGGGGCAGTACAAGGAGGTTTGGATAGAGGAAGGGATCTAAATACCATCAAATTATATTGTATGAAATTGCAAAAATTCAAAAAATATTTTTAAAATGTGTATGTAAAAATAATTAGAGAAGAAGCTGGGTATGGTGGCACATGCCTTTAATCCCAGCACTCAAGAGACAGAGGCAAGTGGATCTTAGTGAGATCAAGGCCAGCCTGGTCTACATAGCAAGTTCTAGGCCAGCTTGGGCAATAGGGAGACTGTGTCCGAAAAAAAAAAGTAAAGAAAGAGAACCAGGCGTGATCAGTAGACCTGCCAGTGTAGCTTGTGTGCTCTATCTCTGAAGCAGACAGCCCTAGGCTCTCTGTCCTGGTTTCTGCTGTTTGCTGTCTATGAGTCCTCAGGTTTCTTTCCATCAGCTTCAGTGTCTCCATCTGAGACTCAGGGACATTGCATGTGAAGTTCATACTGCTGTTCTGCTATGTCAGCTACTTTTCTTGTGACCAAGTATCTGACAGAAACAACCTATGGGTCTCCTTTGGCTCATGGTTTCGGAAGGCTCAGCGTGCAATTGCTGGGCTGTGTTTCTGGGCCCACTATCAAGCAGAACATCACGGCAGTGGGAGCAGGTGAAGCAGAGGAGTTTGTTCCCTTCATGGCAGGAAGCAGAGAGGAGCAACAGCAGGAAGTGGCCTGGGGAAGATACAGTCACCTAGGGACATGATCCTAGGGATCTGCTTCCTTCAGCCTGTCAGAAATTTCTACCATGTTCCAACAATCCATCCACGTTTTCAATCCATCAGTGGATGAAGCCTAACTCAGAGTCCTCATGATCTTCTTTCTGTGGAAACCCCTCACAGACACACCTAGAGGTGTGTTGCACTAATCTTCCAGGTGCTTCTCAAGCCAATCAAGTTGACAGTCAAGATGAATCATCACTGGGCCTGTGAGATGACTCAGTGGGTAAGTTTAAGCCTCCATAACCTGAGTTCAATCCCTAGATCCCACATTGAAAGGAGAGAACCAACTCCTGAAAGTTGTCTTCTGACCTTCACACAGACACCATGGCATGTGTGTGCCCCAACACACACACAAAATTAAAGAGCTGGACATGGTGGCTCATGCCTTTAATTCCAGCACTCAGAGGGGCAGAGGCAGGCAGATTTCTGTGAGTTTGAAGCCAGTCTGGTCTACATAGTAAGTTTCAGAATTACATGGTGAGATCTCAAAAAAACAAAACAAAAAACAAACAAACAAAAAATCTTAAGGCTGTGCCCAGTTCTTTAATTCGTGTGTGTGTGTGTGTGTGTGTGTGTTGGGGCACATCCATGCCATGTTGCCTGTGTGAAGGTCAGAAGACAACTCGGCTGGCTAAGTGCACTGGCTGCTCCTGCAGAGGACCTGAGCGTGGTTCCTAGTACCTACATAGAGCAGCTCATAACTGTAACTCCAGCTTCAGGGCCTCTGATGCCCTCTTCTGGCATCTGTGTGCACCACCAGGCCTGGGTGATTTACATTTCTACTGACTAGTGGCGTTCAGCATCTCTTCCTGAGCTTAAGAAAGAACTTGTATAGATCTTCTTTGGAGCTCATTTTTAAAATGAAGGATTGTTTTTTTGTTTTGTTTTGTTTTTCTTGTTCAATTGCAGGGTTTTTTTTTTTGGTAGATTAGGTATTAATCTCATTATATGATTTTCAAGTTTCTTCCCAGTCTGGGGGTCACTTTCTCTCTTTCAATAGTGTCTTCTGCTACAAAAGTTTCAAATTTGATGTTGTTTAGTTTACTCTTTCTCTACCTGTGCCTCTGGCATCATACACAAGACATCAGTCAAACTCTATCATAAAGCTTTGCCTCTATTGTTTCTTCAAAGTGTTTTATAGTCTTGGTATTGTTTTGCTTTTTCCTATCCTGTGATAGGGTTTTACTCTGTAGCCCAGGCTGGACTAGTCTGTGATTCTCCTGCTTCAGCCTCTTAGGGATTACAGGCTTATGGCCACCATGCCCAGTGGTTTTAGTTTTAAATTTAAATCTTTGATCCACTGAGTTAACTTTTGTATACAGTTTAAATAAAGGTTTGGGGGACTGGAGAAATGGCTCAGGGGTTAAGGACACATACTGATCTTGCACAAAACCCTGGTTCAGTTCCCAGCACCTACATAGGACAACTCATAACTGCCTGTAACTCAAACTCCAAAGGATCTAGTACCCTCTTCTGGCCTCCAGGTGAACCAGGCAAGCACATGGTGCACATACATGCACATGGTGCTCATACATACACATGATACATATACATACAGTCACACAGACATACACATAAAGTAAAAATAAATCTTTAAGAACTTACAAATACATAAAGGCAAAACTTTAATTTTGCATGTTAAGATCCAGGTCCTCAGCATTTCCACTGAATGGTCAGGTGGTTTTAGACGGTAAGGTTAAGGTGGGCAGAGCTGCAATCAATTGCTTGAGGATGGGGTAGGGTAAGCAGGAAGTAAAAAATAAACTGGGAACTACAAGGCTGGGGAGAGGGGCCAAAACTAATGCAAGTGACAGCAGTACTGAGCACATGTAATCTGGCAACAGGCATTTAAGTGACATTTATGACCATTTTCTTCCTCACACAGGAAACAATGAATGTAAGAAACCAGATTTTCAGCATCATTCTAGGACCTCCCTAAGGCAACAACATGCCTTAAGTACTAAACTTTCAAAGGTCTTCACATGGTAATTATTTTAATATTTTAAGTTTAAAAATCAATGCAACTTCATGAGACTATAGGATCAAATTCTTATTCATCAGTCTCTAGTTTTCACCTTCTGCTTGTGAAAATAGGTCTGGAATTTGAGTGCTTTTAACAGTGCAAATACTGTTAGTTCACACCTCTCTCGGCAAGTGCTGCCTGCCCTGGCCTGCTGTCTCAGGTGGGGAAGTCAAGTCTGACCACTGTCATTCAGCATGCAGTACCTCTGCTGGAATGTGCAGGGGTCTAGTATTTCTGACCTATCAGCAAGCCTGTAAGAAGGGCCAGGTGGCTCTTCCTACCGCCTTCACTCATCTCTGCTGTTGCTGTGGAGCTAATTCCTGTACAGGGCGAAGCTCAGGGGCTGACTTCATCTGGCACAGCAAATGCCATCTGAGGAGATTCTTACAGGTGAGCTCCCACCTGAACAGTGCCCTGCCCTGCTTGGGATGTTCCTGGGAAGCAGGTGAAACTGACTGCACACAACTTAGCCCATCACAGCAGCCAGAGCATCTCACCACCAGTACACAAGTTTCTCAGAGGTCAGAGAAGTGTTTCCACCCTAGAGGTTCCACAGTCAAGTCGCCCCTTGACCTCTCTGCCCTTCTCTGCCATGTTTCTTTGCCCTGAGGCACAAATACTTCTTTTCAGCTTATTTTTGTGATTTTCCCAACTGACCCTGAAATCAAGCCTGTTGGGAGAGAGGGTAAAATCAAACAGACAATCCTCTAAGCATCCAGGAAATGGCTGCTGGGCCTTTGAACTTGATAAATGTCTGGCCAGCTGTGCACTTCTATGCTGGGTCCTCCTCGTCCATTGCCACGTCTTGGCTGGTGTTTTTATTCTGCTCATCCTCAGGCCCCGCAGGCAGGATGGTGGTGACAGTATGCAGAAGGGCTTCAATCTGTTCCTCCGTGAGCCGTTCCTCACTCTCTTCCACCATCTACAAGGGAAAGGAAGCTCCAGGGGTTTAGAAGTGAGTCTCCCACGCTGCCCCACCCTGCCATGCAGGTCTGTGTCAGCCCAGAACCTGGGTCCTGAGCCACCTAGGACTTCATATAGGCTGCACAGTTGGATGACCCCAGGCTGACCCAACGCAAACATGGAAATGTGTCAGTGAAAAACCTGAGTTGCAGAACACTGCTTTTCATCAACTAAAAGGAAACCTCTAACTATTCTCTATTCGTCCTCATCCACATGTGAATATGTCAGATACACAAAGAAAATTCACCTCTGGGGGGTGACATGGCCCTAGATGAACTTTTGCACTCCATGACAAGTACATGACACAGACAATTCTCTCGATGACTGCCTGCCCTGAGCTTCCGGTTTACACCCTTCTGCTAGTTCTGCAACTTCTGACAGTTCCCTCTGTCTCTGCCACTCACCAGAGCTCTGCAGCAACACTTGAACTATACAGTCAGATTCCATCCAACACTCACAAACAATCCCAACAAGAGGCAGAACTGGAGTCCCCAGTCAGGTCCACCCTGGTGAAAAGCCCACTAGCCAAAACATCCCACATGTGGTTGGATCTTTTTTTTTCAAAATTTTATTATTTTTATTTTATGTGTATGGGTGTATTACCTGCATGTAGGTTAAGTGCACCTGTGTCGTGCAATGCCCAAGAAGGACAGAAGAGGCTGTCGAATCCCCTGGGACTGGAGTTACAGTCAGTTGTTAGCTGCCATGTGGATGCTGGGATTCGAACCCAGGTCTTCTGCAAGAACAAGCAGTGTTCTTTAACTGCTGAGCCATCTCTCCACCCCATGTGGTTGCATCTTAACTGTGCTCCAAAGGCTGTGTGTGGGAGGCATGGTCATAGCCTATGACACCCCTGGTAAGTGGTAGAACCTTTAGAAGGTGAGGCCTAGAGGAAGCAAATTAAGTCCTGGGAGTGCCCTTGAAGGGAATGGTGAAACCCTGGCCTTTTCTCTCTTCCAGCTTCCTCAAAGTGAGTGGTTTCTGTCATGATCCTTGCCAAGGGCCTAAAATAACAGAGCCACATGTCCTTGGGCCAAACATGAAACCATGAGGCAAAATAAATCTTTTGTCTTTATAAATTGATTATCTCAGATTTTTTTTTTTTTTTTTTTTTTTTGGTCTTTTTGAGACAGGGTCTCCCTGCAGCCCCAGCTGTCCTAGAACTCATTATGTAGACCAGGCTGGCCTTGAACTCACAGAGATCCGCCTGCCTCTGCCTCCCGAGTGCTAGGATTAAAGGTGTGGCCACCACACCCGGGTAATTATCTCAGATATTTTGTCACAGTACTGGAAAGCTAATATAATCACATGGCTTGATCACCTCCAAAGAATGTAGAACAGGGGGCTAGAGAAGATGACTCAGCAGTTAAAATTACTTGCTGCTCTTGCAGAGGACCTGAGTTCAGTTCCCAACACCCAACTAGGTGGCTCACAATCATCTGTATTTCCAGCTCCAGGGGATCTGGCTTCCTCTTCTGGCCTCTCATGTGCACATACCCATACACAGATACACATAAATAAAAAATAATAAAAATATGGGCTGGAAAGATGGCTCAGCAGTTAAGAACACTGATTGTTCTTACAGAGGACCCATGTTTAGTGGCACCCACATGGTGGCTAACAACCATGGATAACTCCAGTTCCACAGGATCCAACTCCCTCTTCTGGTCTCCATGGGTATTACACACATGGGTGCACTTACATACATGCAGGCAAAACACTCATACACATAAAATATAAATAAATAAATGCTAAAAATATAAATCTACAAGCACTATGCAGGTATTCAAGTAACTATGCCCACATGGAGGCATAAACACCTGTCACAAACATCTTTCTCAGCTGGAGATTTCTCCAGCAGTCTTTGAAATCTGGCCACCGATACTAAGAGATATCCCAGAAAGAACCTTGACCGATGTTAGGAAAGCAAGACATGAGGCTAGGCTTCTTTGGTGGTTTGAATGAGCAGTGTCCTCCACAGGCTCAAGTATTTAAATATTTGGTCACCAAATATTTATGGGGAGGACATGGAATCTTTAGGAGGCACAGGAAGCATGCCACTGGGGGTAGACTCTTGAGAGTTCACAGCCTCACCCCATTTCCAGTTCCATCCCTTAGCTTCATATATGCCTTTGAAAATTCTGAGCTCTCAGCTTCCTACTCCTGTCACCATGTCTGCTGCTTGCTGCCATGCCTTCCTGCCACGATGGACTCTCATCCCTCTAGTAAGCAAAATAAACTCTTCCATAAGTTGCTGTTGGTCATCGTGGTTATTTATTTATTCATTTTTTTGGTTTGTTTTTTTGGTATTTATTATTTATTTATTTATTTATTTATTTATTTATTATTTTTGAGACAGGGTCTCCCTGTAGCCCCAGTTGTCCTGGAACTCACTATGTAGACCAGGCTGGCCTTGAACTCACAGAGATCCACCTGCCTCTGCCTCCCAAGTGCTGGGATCAAAGGTGTGCGCCACCACACCTGGCTTTATTTATTTTAATTAATTAATTTATTTATTTTTAATTTTATGTGTATTCGTGTATTACCTACATGTAGGTAAGTCCACCTATGTTGTGCAATGCCCGAGGAGGACAGAAGAGGCTGTTGTTAGCCTCCATGTGGGTACTGGAATTTGAACCCAGGTCTTCTGCAAGAACAACCAGTGTTCTTAACCGCTGAGCCATCTCTTCAGCCTCTTTTTTTTTGGTATTTTTGAGATAGGGTCTCCCCATAGCCCCAGCTGCCCTGGAACTCTCTATGTAGACCAGGCTGGCCTTGATCCCCTGCTTCTGCCTTCTGCCTCCCAAGTGCTAAGATTAAAGGTGTATACCACCACACCCAGCTTGGTCATGGTGTTTTTATCACAGAAACAAAAAGTAACTAATACAGTTTATAATCCTGAAGAGGGAGTAGTCTGACCACCCCCACTTACAGACTGACATAGCATGCTGACTTAAAAGTCATGTCCAAGAGCATATCACAAGTACATGAGCACTGGCCACTACCTTGCACTCAGTTAAAAAGGGTTTCTGTAACTAGAGGATAATCTTGGATGTTCCAGGTGGGGAGTGCCCTGAGCAAACCAATGGGAGGCAGAAATACTTTACACCATGCTGTGAAGTATGACCGTTTTCTAAAGTTTTTTTTTTTTTTTTTTGTCGTTTTTTTAAGCAGGATTTATGTCACCCAGGCAGGCCTCAAACTTGCCACACAGCCAAGGATGACCTTGAACTTCTGATCCTGCTGCCTCTACCTCCCAAGTGCTAGGATTATAAACATATGCTACCAGGCGAGGTTTGAACTCGGGGCCTTATGCATGCTAGGCCAGCACTCTAGCAAATGAGTTACATCTCCAGAAATATAACTTCTTTATTGATCAAAAAAAAATTCTTTAAAAAATGCACTTTTAGTGAAGCATGGTGGCAACATGTACCTGGAAGGTGGAGACAAGAGGATCAGGAGTTCAAGGCTAGCCTCAGTTATATATTGAGTTCAAGACCAATCTAGCCTATACAAGAGAGACCCTGTCTCAAAAAAAAAAAAAAAAAAGAGATCAGACTGCAGGGGCAGGAGAGGACTCAGTGGTTAAGAGTCCTGGCTGCTCTTGCAGAGGACCAGAGTTCAGTTCTCAGCACACACATGGTGTCTCACAACAAACTGTAAATTCAGTTTCAGAGGATCTGATGCCTTCTTTTGGCCTCTGTGGGCACCAGGCATACAAATGGTGCACTTACACACAAGCAGACACTCACATAAACACATAAAATAAAAAGAGTAAATCTTTAAAAACTTATTTTAAAATAAGACCAGATATGGCTGTTTCTCTGCTGTTTCCCTGCTCCCTGAGAGGCAGCCCAGCAGTCTGCTTACTCTCAAACTGCTTCCCCGTGCCCGCCCCCCTTATTCCATGGAGTTGCCTGGTCAGTGGCCTTCAATGTATCCTCTTCCATATATACGGTGCTTGAAACCCAGGAGAGGAATGACTGGGTTACTTATGACTTGGTTCCCTCTTAACGAGCCATGCCGCTGACCATGCACTCCTGCCCGTCTTGCCTATGCCGGCTCCTACCACTCACCACATCAGGCCCAAGATTATGCTTTCCTCAGTCCTGTTCACCTTCTGAGAGAGTTTGGATGATGCTGTACAGCACTCCTCAGCCAAATAACTGCCATCTTCATGACTTCAGCTGTGCCTATTTGCTAAAGATCATCACAACTGGGCTTCTTGACAGTTGTGTTCCTTCATCAAAGGAGGGGTAAGCAGGGTCATTGGACCCTCACCTGAGTATCTAGCCATTATTCTCAGCCAGATATATATATATATATATA